GAGTGGAAATGAAATAAAATGAAAAGAAATGAGTGAACGGAGCTGAAAGCCTCACAGTGATGCTGCGTTCCTGTGACAGTGTTATAAAACAGGAAGCTGGGCAGGACGCTGCTTTTATCTGCCTCCTCGCACCACCATCGCCCACAAACCTGCTAATCCATGTCTGCTTTGTGGTTACATCCTGACAGTTCAGTGTTTGTGAAGGCAAAACTGTTCTACAATTGGACAGTGGCCTCGTGGGACACAGGTCCATGACTGAGAACAGGTAAAGTTGACATTGTCTTACAGAGACTGTACAGTCTTTTCCCAGACCAAACAGCCAATTCCTACTATACCTCATACATGATCAGTGGAGGCTTTTTATAGTCAAAAAATATACAAGCTTCATGTCCACAAAAAGACATCAGTCCAGGTTTTGCTGCAACCTGAGAGTGGGTCACGTGGGCAGCAGTCCAAGCAGAGAAGCCCAGTCTGCCCTTCTCTTCACCACTCTTCCGAGGAAATCCCGAGGTATTCCCAAGCCAGCTGAAGAGAGCAGCAGGGAGCCTTTACTCCTCACTCTCCACGACCCAGGAGCAAGAAACCAAGTGTCCTGATGGACGTCACAAGGTCTGTTCAGAACAGAGCTGGACTGGACAGTTCAGGGTCGAGTACGGACATCAACAATCTAGAAAGAATCCTTGACCTAAAAGCATGTTTTTGGCTGGAGTAAGTGGAGAGTCCACTGTGAACAGACTGATGAACCATGAATGATGAACCAGTGACCTTTTTGCTGTAAGGCACAAGCATGGACCATTATTCCACTGTGTTGCCTGCTCTCTGAGATCACGGGAAGAGAAGGACAATGAGGAAAACAATCACCGGACTGTCACGGCAAGGAGGACCAACTGGAAGACATGGTCCTTTACCATAGCTTTGATTCTGAACGTTATATTGGACTTCAGGAATGTTTCAATTACAATTACAAAGCTGTGACTTCAAAGACAGGATGTGACCTGACCTGCTGCCCAGATCTGTCCCCTACTGCCTCCTATTGGTCAGTTTAATCAGTCTTTCCCAATCACTGGTACATGGGCCCATAGCTGTACACAAGAGGAACAGAGGACGGACATTGGATTTGTCATAATTCATATTTTAGGTTTAAATGTCTTTTTTAAGATGACATGGGACCATTATATGTGGCCGCCCCTTACTTTGATTACTGCTGGCCTAAGCAAAAAAATAAAAAAAGGAGCAAAGATGCAACAATTCTTCTACCCAGTTCCTAAAGGCCAAGGAAGAGTGTAGTTAAATAAACAGAAGAGTGAAATGAGGACAGAATTTGAACTGACAAAATGTGTGACTTCATTATTCATCTTTATTTATTATGTCTGGGATGGTCTGAGGTTTATTATTCATGCTGTACTTCTGCCAAAGAATCTAAACCGAGCATTAATAACAACCCGTGAAGAATGGCTGAAAGCATTTTGAGACGACGCACCCTGAAGTGTCTGAGCAGAAAGAGTTCGGGACACAAAGACCGGTGTCGTTTAACTAAATCAGACTTCAAAGCCGCCCCATCAAACAAAGACCGGTGTCGTTTAACTAAATCAAACTTCAAAGCCGAAGTCAAATAATCTGAGCACCATAATTGGATTTAACCTGATGTGAGATTTCATTTTACATTTAATTGAATTTTCACCTGCGTGACGCAGCGTGGGTGAACATTACACCTGCGGAGGACGTCCCAGTTACAGCTTAATTAAATGAACAAAGCCCAGAGTTTCCGTCAAGACCCGTCACCTTCGTCTTCGCGGTCCGCGGTCGCACGGCTGTGATGAGACGATAGTCGTTGCCTTCAGGTTCCTCCCAGCTGAGTGCCAGTTGTAATGAGGAAGGCGAGGCATCGGTAGCAGCGGCAGAGAGAGATAGAGAGAGATAGAGAGGGATAGAGAGAGCGACGCCTCCAGCTGATTTAAGGAAACGCTACAGTTCTTTTTCCAGCTGGAACCATGACGCCTTTAAAATATGCCTGGCTTTAATTAAAATGGCGTGCCGCCGACAGATAGAGGCGCTGAGAGCTGCTGCTCACATCAGAGGCTGTAACCTGCAGAAAACACCCGCCTCCCGTCAGCCCAATCTTCTCCAGATCTAAAACGACTGAAAGTGTCAGTGAATTAGAGAGTACAGCCTCTGTGATCTCTGACCTCCAAGGACGGTATTTAGTGAAAAATCATGTTGCAAATCTTCATCTTCATCACCATCCAAAAACCCAGAGTAATAAATGTTGAACCCAGGCATTTAGTCAAGAATTTCTCTCTTTTTTTGTTGGGTTTTGCTACAAAAATATTTTATTGCGACTGAGCAACATGACGTCAAAGACATTCGATTCTTTATGTATGGACCGTCTCATGGGTTCATAGTCACAGCCAAGGACGGGGGTTAGAGTCCTTCAACAACAAAAGAGACATTTTTATTATTTTACCAGCAAGTAAAAATCACACAAAATGATATGGTTACCGTTTAAGTCACGGCAGTAATGAAGTGTATGAAGTACTTTAGTAAAGCTTCATGAAGAAGTACAGAAAGAAATCTGTTGCTGTCCAACCTGTTTTACCACAACATCTCTACATGTAGACAATGATGGCAACACAGGAACATTCACCCTTCGGTATGACGACCAAAAACTGCACACCTGATCTTGAGTCAACATAACAGAGACATATTGTTGTTCTGTTATTAGCAAGCTAGCTGAAAATGTAGCGTAAAAAAAAAGGAATGATCTTGAAAAAACAAAGGAGACTAATTTTGTTTTGCCATTGTAAGGAGTCTAAAAACGCCACATGTGGCCCGGGAGCCACAGGTTGCAGACCCTCACTTTACTTTTGCATTGAAGGATTTTCACTAGTGTAGCGAACAAACAATATTTAGAATAGTCCTTATTGTCATTGTACCATGGCGGTACAACGAAGTTGAAGAGATTTCAGCTTGTAATCCACCCTTTAACTTTTCATATCTGGAATTCTTGCACATCACACTAATCATTTGACAAAAAAAAATATGGTAAATCTAACACGGAGATGAGGATTCAATATTTGGGCTAAGTGGCCTTGGGGTTGGCTGGCTATCTGCGCAGGATGTGACCCGCCCCTGCCCATTGACTGCTGGAATTGGCTTCAGCTCCCCCTTGTGACCCTGAGATGAATCGAGCGATGGAGGATAAAGAATTATTCAGGGCCGCTCTTAGATCCGGCCGTAACTATTACTCAGGCTGAAGTGTCATTAAAGGGCCCAACTTTTACTGTTTCAAGTTTGAAGCGATTGTCACGGAGATTTTATATATACTGTATGTTTACATACATAATTAAATCGTTCGTTTTATTTGAATAAATACTGTACGTTCCGAGCAGCGAACAAGACACGTTCATGTAACTGTTCTGCCTGTGTTTCCAAGCTCGGACTATAAGGTCTAACCACTCTGTTGATAAATTGATTGATCTCTGTGCCTGTTGTGATTAGCCGGTGTCGACCTGCGCTGATGATTCATTTCCACCGACGTCTCCTCTGACTCCACCTCATTAATCCACACTAATTACAACGACCTTGTTCTTAGGAATCAGTAACAGGGCAGAGAGAGAGAGAGAGGGGGGAAGAGAGAGATTAGGATAGACAAGAGAGAGGAGGGAGGACAGACGGAGGAATAGGGAGAGAGAGGTACAGATAAACAGAGAGCGAGGGAGAGAGCGAGCGAATGCAGTAATGTATAAATTGAAAGGTAAAGAGGGAGAGCAAATCACAGAGAGAGAGGGGGGACTCAAGAAAGGAAGAAGGAGCGAGGTGAACAGATACTGAAGAGGGTAGAGGGCACTAAACAAGGTGGAAACAAGGAAGATTAGGGAGATAGGAGTAGGCTACAGGGTGAGACAGAGGGAGAGGTGCGTGGGTTAGAGAGGTAGACATACGGTTAGGGTTGAATGGATGAAGGGAAACCATGTTCCTTCAAGCAACAACAAAAAAAAGATTTTGGTTGAAAATGAAAACCAAATCTTAAATATTCACTGTCCCGGTGGAGTCATTCTCCTTTATCACTTTCCCTGGAACAATTCCATCCATTCATTCATTCTCATCTAAGTTAAATGGGTGCTCTGGCGCCCCCTTGGAACACACAACTCCGGGAGAGGGGAGAGGTACGCTGAAATTGGAGGTAGAGAGAGTCAAAGAGGAGGAGGAAAAAACTGCTGTAGGCAGACTACTGCATAGAAAAGAAAAGCTAAACCAAGCATCGGTAAACTAAGGCCCGGGGGCCAGATGGGGCCCATTCAGCTTTTTAATTCGGCCCGCCAAAATTTTTAAAATTGTATAATTTATTTATATTATCATTATACTTCTGCCTTTTCCCTGCAATACCCATGTTTTCCCAATAGAGGGCGTACAAAATAATACAAGCATTTTAGCACCTTTATGCATGACTTTTCCATGTCATTTATCTTAGTTAACACTAACTCTCCATCTACCTGCACCTGACCCGCCCCCCCCTCCTCCCCCCCATTGTGAGCCGCCAGTCAAAACATTTGTCCAGGCCTGGGCTAAACTATAGGTGAGAGAGGGATACAGAGGTCGAGAGAGCGAGGAAGACAGGGTAAGGTTCAGGAGGAGACAAGACAGGGTGAAATGGACATGGGGGCAGGGGTCATAGAGGTCATGGCCTGTGGGGTACATAGTGTGAGGTTAGGAAAGTGAACCAGTTAGCACACAGAGTGAGGTAAACAGATGAAGAAAGAGAAGGAAACTGGTCTGAGACGGAGCAGGGAGAGGGAGAACACATGATTCCAGTAAGGTCACCAAGTAGATGAGGCCAATGAGAGAGGTGGAAGGAGAACAGAGAGAAAAGTACAGCCACTGGTAGACTCTGTTAATCTGAACAATTGTACTGGCGCGGGTACATGGAATATGAAAGATACCGGGGAGGGAGGGAGGGAGAGAGAGGGGGAGGGAGAGAGAGAGAGGGGGAGAGAGAGAGAGAGAGATCCTCCTTTGGTGCCGATACGCTCTGTCTGCGACTGTGCCTGAAAGTGTGATTGTGAGGGTGAGGAAAAAAAGGGGGAGGACGAAGAGGAGGAGGAGTAGCAGGAGCAGAGATTTCCTCCAGGTTCGGCTCAGTGGGTTTCTGAAGGAGACGCGCGCGCACACACTGGAGTGGATCAGAGCATCACCACCAGGGACGCGTGCGCCATTACGCACGGAGCTGCCGCTGTTCGGGTGTGGAGGACACCGGATCAACTAATTCACACACACACACGCACACAGACACTGTGTCTCTCTCACACACACGCACGCGCTCGCTCGTGTTGACGCTGGTGAGGAGCAGCGGGAAGGAGACCTCTGAACTCGGACGACGTTCACACGGTTCCCGACGGGAGAAAGTTGACAGTGAGCGGGGTGAGAGCGGAGGGGCGTCCGGCGGGTCAAGTTTCCACGCAGGGAGGGGGGGTAAAACTGTGGCACTGCCCCGCTCATGGACCAGCGACCTCCCGCTGTGAACCGCAGATCAGACTCGGATAGTTCGCGTCGGCTCGGCGAGTCATGTGGTGGACACTTCTCCTCTGAGTTCAGGCTGAGACCAACAGAGAGCGGAGCTGTCGAAGAGTCCGGACTCCAGTGAGTCCAGCAGCATCATCATCATCATGTCGGTGTCCAGAGAGCAGGAGAGAGGGAGCGAGTGAGGGAGAGACGCGGACCGAAAACCAAAACCAGAGAGAGAGAGTCTATAGTTCGTAATGTGTGGGATTAAAAGTGGACGCGACATGATCCTGATTAATATCATCACTGTGGTGTTTGTGTTAGGTGAGTGTGCACGCACGTACAAACACGCACGCACGCACGCGCCCATGGACACTGTAGAGTCTCGCAGACCTACTCACCCTAGACTTCCACACACCGACGACCAGACAGAGACCTGACCCGTGACCTTAAACCCTAACCTCCGACGCTCTGGCTCATTAGGAACAGAGCGGGCTCCGCATACAGAACACTGGACCTGAAGGGGTCAGTGTTTATGGAGGAGGACACGGTACAAATGACTCCACACACACACACACACACGAACCAATCCACCCATCCATTCATCTTTCCACGCAGCCGTTAAACCATCCAACCGCCATCATCCATCCATCATCCTTTTCTTTTCTTTTCTTCTCTTCTTTCTGATATGACATGTTTATCTGATCACCAGCTCCCTCTGAGCTGACAGGAGTCTGTGGGGAGAGATTCCACTGGGTGGTTCCACTAATCCACAGGGAACCAGTCTAGATCAGCTATACATTTATCACAAGTTTTTATCAAAAACATCAAATCAAATATATGCTGTTTCTTTAAAAACAGCAGAAAAGACACCGCGTTTTAGTCTTTGTTGGTAAACATACGCAATGTCATTCCTCCTCCTGCAGGGTGCGCTAGTCGTGCCGTACAAATGCCCCGTTCCAGGTTCCGCAAATCTGTTTCAGCCGGATTTAGTTTTACAAATTGCTCGCAAGGGAAGCAACACTTTTAGCACAGCAGGAGGGAATTCACTCTCACACGCCACACGTGAGACACCTGTTCATCACAGCAGGACACAGGTGACAGGTGCTGCATGTGCTGCTCTCACTGACCACCTCACACTACAGGACAACGAATGGAGCATCGGACAGCATTTTAAGGACATGAAAGCAACGTTTGTGTCACTTTTTAAAACCACGTACTGCGTCACAACGCAGGGTGTCGATGAGTCGACGACTTCATCGAGTTTAAATTTGAAATTTTGAGTCAACAAACTTCATTGATTTACTTAGTAGACCAGTATACTGCACCACCACCCAAGACAGTAGTTTTCTTATTCTTATGAAAGTAGTAGTGGTTGTAGTAGACTAGTCCTCCATGTTGAAGTAGTTGATTTTTTTTGCTGTTTGGTGAGGGTACAGAACAAGTGTCCAAAATGTGACTTTTCTATTCAAACAATGGTCTGAACTTTAAGTCAATCCCCCAACGGTGAAGCTGATGTAATTGTGATCGGGCGAATATTTTGTGGCTGAAATCACCTCCATTGAAACTGCAAGTCAACAGGAGGGAGAGACTAATTGTCGTTTCTGAATTACCCTTGCGGGTGTGTGTAGTGTCGGTCCCTGGAGTCATTTCAAACATCTCTGTCATTCGAAAATAGGTTATTGAGCTGAATGGGAATTTGCAATTGACTCCTTACTGCATTGATTTGCAGTACTTTAACTTCATCAGCCAAGTAATCGCATCATCTCTGTCCCCGAGCCGACACATGAAACGACATGTAGACGTTTCCATTCACCGCTGTTTCCAGGTTGTTGGCTCGCTGAGTAACCACAGGGGGTGCTGTGGCGCTGTCCTTGGTGCTGGAATGGTTGCAGTGTCAGAGGAGCTGCCTGAATTGTCAGAGAAGGGCTGGGAATTAAGCACACAGAGGCACTCAGGATTGGTCTGACAATAGCCAACAGGTGGGGGGGGGGCGGGGGGGGGTTTCAGTTTTAAGATGTCCCTGAAGATCACTTGAATTAAACCAGAGTCACTGCAGTGACCGTGGTCAGACAAAAAGGAAAGGCTAACAGCCTCTGGTGCCTGTGTCGTTGTCTCGAGGAGACCGTAGGGACTTGAACTGTAAAATACCATCAGCCGTTTCATTCTGTATATGTAAAGAAACTTGAGTTTTTATCGTCACGTTCCTTGTGTGGAGCTGCGGCATTATTGACTTCGGAGGTGTGCAGCAATAACGTTGTAACCCGGCCTTCTGTTCTCACATTTCCCAGTGTTTATATGAGCAATATTTGTTAGCAACAAATGCTAGAGAAGCCGTTAATGTCTAATTTTGTTTTTATGCTCACGGCTCCTGTGAAAGAGATAAAATCCCACATTAAACAGCTGTGCTGATATAAAACGGTAAAATCGGCAATAAACATTTTAAAGGAGAAGTTTAAAAGGGGGGGGGGGGGGGGGGTGTGTGTTATTTTATTCTTTTTGGAACTGCAATTGTGTTCTGTACATATTGGAACCTGACAGGCATGATATGTATTAGGCTGAGTAAATGTCTCATGTCAGATTAATGTCAGATTTAATTGGCTGACATTTGTACTTTCGTCCTCCTTGCGAAACATTAAGTTCCAAAGTGCGAAGAACGATAAATGAGATGAACATAAAACAATTATACTGGCAATATTTCAGCGAATATTTGTTCATTATTGAAAAAAATATATCCATAGAATGAATAGTACCTAATGGCTCCCCTCAGACATTAGAACAGTACTTATGGAGTACTGTGTACTGTTTCTGCTCCCTAATACACACTTAATAAAGTACATGGTTCCTAATTTACACAATTATTCAGTCAAGAATTTTTGGCAAAACATAACATAAAAACTGACTTTCACTCCGACATTCTCTCTCTTTCTCTCCAGATGTGTGTGTGTGTCACAATGAAATCATCGCCCCCAGCTGGCGGGAACCTCTGGACTGTGTCCGAGCTTCAGAAATGTGCAACCAGAACAGCCAGTGCAGCTCACGTTATCGGATCATGCGCCAGTGCCTGTCTGGCGGGGACAAGGAGCGCAGCACCATGTTGGCATCCAAGGAGTGCCAGGGGGCGCTAGAGGTGCTGCAGGATTCCCCGCTGTATGACTGCCGCTGCAAGAGGGGAATGAAGAAGGAGCTGCAGTGTCTGCAGAACTACTGGAGCATTCACATGGGCTTGACTGAGGGTGAGTGGCAGAACCGATCCTCTAGGTGGCACTGGTGGTTATCTGAGACGGGGGGCACTTTCACTATGTGGCCACATCAGCAAAATAGTGCCCGAGGAAGGGCCACAGGAACTTCATAACATATGAATAAATGTTTCTGCGATTGATTATTATCTATTCAAGTTACAAATATTATTCATCGCTCTGTAATAAAAAAAAACCTTTTAATTTATCAATTAAGAAATTCGGCAGCATGAACTTTATCATAAGGGAAATGCTTTTAAAGCTCCCGCGGGCCACACAATAAGGCTTGGCGGGCCACACAATAAGGCTTGGCGGGCCACATTTGGGCCACGGGCCTTGAGTTTGACACGTGGTCAAAATGTTTTCTGAAAACATTTTTTAAAAGTCAAAATTTTAAAAGCCCACACAGGGCTGCTGGGTAACTGCTGTGGTTGTTGCTTCATGGCAGCACTGGTCAGTGATGCTGCTGGACGTTCCATCAGTCAGACCCAGACGCGGGTTTTGAAGCTTCTATCCCGGTTCAAGACGTGCTGGTGCTGTCAGTTAACCAATCTAAGTTGGATTAATTAGGTTCATTTCATTTTTAATTACATTCTTTTATTTCCTCTACTCCCTGAAGGGAAACTCCTCTCTGCATTAACCCATCCATTAAACACCACACAGGAGCCCTGCCAGGGCCGGGACCTGAACTGACAATCACGGCTGCCCTCCCAGTAAACCAGTAAAGCAGAAAGAATACCAAAACAAAACAATCACTTGAAACACATTTTTTCAAGCAATGGTTCTATTTATAAAGTCGTCTGTGTGCCACTCAGCGCTAAAACACGGGGTTAGTGGAGAACACTCTGTCACACTTTGTTGGTTTCCCACGGAAAAAAAGATTCAGTGACGACACTATTTTTAAAATCAGACTTTTTCCTCTTTTGTTTTTTTTGTTTTTTTTTTTCATATACAGCAACATATTTTTTTTTTTTTTTTCATATACAGCAACATTTAAAGAAAAATGCAAACCTACATGAGACAAGAAGCCATTGAAAGAGAAGTCGAAGGCCACGCATTTGCACGGCAGTGACAAACCTTTTATAATGCACAACACATGAACAGGAAACAACAAGGTCGAGCTCTCCTGGCCAAGAAACCAACAGGAACAAAACAACGTGGTTCAGGTCGTGTCACGCTGAAATAAACCACACACAAATACCCAGAAAGAAGAAAAACCCTAGAGCAGTGATCATCAACGGGTGGCCCGTAGGCTGGATCTGGCCCACAGAAAACCCCAATCCAGCCCACGGCTGGATTCCAGAATAAACATCACATAATATTGTTAGACATAAATGTGATTTTAATTTCCTTATATTTGGTTGTCCAGCCCCCCAAAAAATCAAATATCATTGGTCAGTACACTAAGTGAGATTCCGCATCAAATTTGACAAAGTAGATCCTGACATTGTGGGAATATCACAGGGACAGATGAGGCGTCATGTGACCAACCACTCCTTCATATGTGTCGAACACGTAGACTAAAACTTCCACCTCAGCATCTGCTGCAGTCGTGGTCCCTGTCTCCAGAGGACGACGTCTGATAAATGTCCTCAGGTGATGTCGGTGAAGGAAACGGCCATGACTGCAGGAATCTATTTCACGTCACTTCATTCTTTATTCATGCGCCCCGTATGTGCAGCGTTTTCAGATGAGGCTGCGCAGCTACACCCTTTACCAGAGACAATGATGATGTTAACCTGAAAATGGTGCAGACCTTTCAGGTCGACAACTGCGTCTCAGACATGTCGCTACCAAAGAGAAAAACTTAGAAACTGTGGTGGGAAAGTTCTTCCAGCTCCAACACAAAACCTCAAATCCTCTGGGAGACGACGATTTTTTTTTTTTTACAAATATTATGTGGAAATGTGGGACTAGAACTCCTTTTGGAACTGTTTGCTGCATTACGGTACTGCTATCTTCTGGTCCCTTTTCATTGTCAAAATCATGCGTACATTTACAGACCAGCATCCTCAGATTTACACTCTGACCAGCCATACCAGCCTCTCCGTTTCTTTCTTCTTTCTTCTTCTGTGGTGGTTCACACCAGTTAGAATGCACAGAATAGAATAGAAAAGAATGACTTCATTAGTCACTGGTGCGTTAACCCAACAGTTCCAGCACATTGAACGCAGAGCAGTGAGGAAAAATCTAAAACACTGGTATTTTTAAGGTTTAAAGAATCAATATGTGGAGTACACAATGAAGACAAAAGGGTATTTACCAGTAAAAAAAAATCCAAACATGCTGTATGAATGTAAAGATATGTAGACGTTTCAAATAATTTAACTTCTCAGAAAGCAAAAAGAATATGTTGCAGGAGTTTAGTATGCTCTCCTTGATCGTCACCTCCTCATGACAGCGACCACCTCGTCCTCTCATCAACTTTTTAGTGGCTGGAATTCCAGTTTGAGCAGGAATTTAGCCTCCCCTGGGTCACAGCTCTGCGATGACATTTTGTTCAGACAAATGGCAGTGTTTTTTACACTACAGGTGTCTATTACCACCCAGATATGTTTGGACTTGCCCTTGACATGTCGGAGTCAGAAAAGTTATCTCACTTCGCTTTCACCTCTCGACTCCGCTACAGACGCTTCTAATTTGAACCAATGACGGAAAAAAACACGGGAGGATAAATCAGCGGACACATCCGTCCCACCTGGAAAGGTGTCCGGATAAACACAGAACTGCCACGAGTGACTTAAGTATCTGCCCAGAACAATGTCATTTTTACAAGTATATTAGTATTTTGACCACAAATATTGTCACAATAATGCTACCGGCAAGAAAGCACGGCGGACCACCCATGATCAACAGAACCCTCAAAAATATTTCAAAAAAGTTCCTTTTTTAGTATAGAACAATTAGGAGATTCTCTGGTACCTGGCCATCCCACGGTCATTTTTTTAATTTTCAAAATTCAAGCGGGCCAGTTTTGGCCCCCGGGCCATATGTTTGACACCCGATCAAAACACTTTTGGGCACTTTGTGCCTTATGAGTGTCTGGAAGACCACCAGAGCAGCAGTGAGGACATGTTTGTCAGCGGAAGATAAACATCTATTAGCACTGTTTGTTTTCTATCTAAAGAGACCAACAAACACCGAGCAGACAGTAAATAGATGGAGGAAAAACAACGGGACTGTCAGCAGCAGCTGCTTGTGTCTTTGTTCTTCATTATTTGATAATGACGAGGATGTTCTTCATCGTGTTCTCGTCGTTGTCCACGCCGTCGCGGCTGATGTCGTCCTAATGTGCTGCGATGTTTACCAGGAACAACTGAAAGATTCTGTCTCCGCAGCGCTGCTGCAACAGACACCTGGCTAATGCTTTCAGGTTGGTTCAGGTCCCACCGCTGCTCCTGTGTGTGTCAGCACACCGACCACACATACACACACCTGACTGGCCTAGTTTTGGTCTCAGAGCAGGGGCAGAGCTCATTAAGAATCCCTCTTTTCTTTGTTTTCAATTCCACTAAAAATAGTTTTGGAGCAAAACACACACACACACACACACACATATTTGTTTTGAGTTGTGGGTACTTCACATAGATATAATGCATCGGAAAACTGTACTGTACGTGTTGTTTTTGAGCTACTTCATATTACTGAGTACCCTTGAAGTAGCTCTTAGTTTGATGAAGGTTGGTGACCGCTGCCCTCACTGACAGCTTATCTAACCTTAACCAATACACATGAATAACTCACCTTAACCCTTACCACCATCCCTAATCCATTTTTATTCTAATCCTGACTCCAAACTAATTTTTACAGCTCAAACTTATTTTACAAAAATCTGCTATAATATCTGTAGACCACACACACACACACACACACACACACTGTATATAGAATTATCTTACACAGGTGGACAACACTAAAAACTGGACAATGGCCAAAAACGAGCTCCAGTGTTAATCCACTAACCTTAAATAAATACTAATGATCTCATGACACTCTCTAACACTTGCTAATCAAACTAGTGAGTTAGTCACGTTCCTGATAGTTGACATACTGTCTTAAGGAAGTTTTTTGTATTAAATTCAGGAATTCAGGGGGCTACATATATATATATATATTTACATATAAAAAAATATATGTAAATATATATATATATATTTACATATAAAAAAATATATGTAAATATATTAAAAATTTACACACGTGTGTGTGTGTAAAATTGCATTATATATGTATATATATGTATATACATATATATACATATATAATGCAATTTTACACACACACACGTGTGTAAATTTTTAATATATTTACATATATAGAAAAAATATATATGTAAATATAGATATATAGAAATGGTATTTACATATATATACTATTTCTATATATCTATATTTACTTAATTTTAAATTATTATTGACATTAAGTCCCGGCCAGTTTTGGGAGGGTTGCGGGCCATAATTGGGCCCCGGGCCAGGATTTTGACAACCTTCTCTAAACTTACTCCACCAGGCTCTGAACACTGACTCACCCCCACAGACTTCAACAGAACAACAAGAGAAGTTGACCAGACTCAGAAAAGCATCAGCACCAAAAACTAGGTGGTTCTACCAAACATGCTCAATCCTACCTGACAGCTAGGTCAACACAGAACACCTTAAACTCTGCAACACTCTGTCAAAGGCCACTTTGTCAAACTGCCAAACATCTGAGCCCGAAACCAAGAATGACTTCTGCTGACTCTTACTGACTCTTCACTAATAGTCGTCACACTCCTTTTAGACCTTCGAAACTGCAAAAAAACAAAAAACAAAAAAACCCCCATATGGCTCACGTGTCAACAATCTTTGTCTTGTTCTAGCTAGGAAATGGATGAACACCTTAGAAAATGTAACCTCGGGATAAATAGGGCACCAGAGGAAAACAACGGGGAAAAAAATATCCCTTTGATATTTATTCAATACTTTAAACCTGACATATTCAAAACGGCGAATGAACTC